GTGAATGTATGATTCATGATTTAAAGAGTTCACACATTGACAATATTACACTGTTGTTGTTTTTTTCCTCCTCACAATTGCAACTCGCTTGTATATTGGCAATTCTCAGAGTTCACCATTAACAATATTGTATGAACAAATTAAGTAAAAGCAGTAGCTGAATCTTCACCGGCTCACAACTTATCGATCAATATAGAAATATGGTGATGTGAACATGTCTGTATAAGTTGTAGCTACTCACACATGTAAAACCATGTATATATATATATGATAATATCGTTTGTGTAAAATGCTTCTTTAAAAGTGATCATTTCTTGTGCTGATTTGGAATATTGTAATTTTAATTGTAAGGTGTGGCTTACCTGACAAATGTGCTTTGAATGAGTTTGGCTATACGTTAGGGATAGATTAGACAAAAAACTGTAATGTCACGATTTACTTCGAATTGCAGTGTTTCAATTATAACATCGATGCAGTGTTTTAATTATAACATCGATGCAGTGTTTTAATTATAACTTTGATGCAGTGTTTTGATTATAACCACGTAAACCAAATCACTTGCAGCCATTGAATCTGGATTTGTATGTCAGTCAGGATTTAAAAGGTTGGTTAATGATTATTTTGCGCTTATAATATCACCTTTTCTAGCTCAGAAGTCACAATTATTGTTATAGAAGAATAAATGACTGCTTGGTAACAGGAAATAGGTAAACAGCTGGTCAGGCCATTAAAGTGTGGTATTTGTAATTCTTTAGTTTGCTGTATTTCCATGACAATTTTATATTGGTTTAGCAAGCTAGCTGGTATAGTATAGAAACTATCATTGTTTTATTTTGAGACTGTGAGATTTATTACTGTTATAAACTAGAAATCGAGTTTTGTAAAATAATTGTAATCATCACAAACCTAAAATCGTTTCCCTTCTCTGGGGCCAAAATATTGCAACCAGTGCAGACCTAGACTTAGTCGGCACATCTGTGCAGTCTGACCAAATGTCTTCAGTGTTTGCTATTCTGAGTCTGTAGAAAAATTTACAGAAATTTCCTTCAGAATGCTAAATGGTTTTGTCCAGGTCGAAAGATAGACAAATCAAAATTAAAATATTTAGCATGCTATGGGTTAATATAGTCACAATTCAATTTTAATGTCCCCTAGACTACTAAAGTGGGGTCTGGGGTATACACATTTGTCCTTGTCATTCTCACTGTTCTACTGTCACACTTTATATGGTTTATATGGCAATTTAAGTTTCTGTAATGATCCTGTCGTATAATGCTAAATTAACTACTATGGAGTTTGTCAGTGAAGTTGTTTTTTTTTGCGAAAAGTTTAGTTTAGGTGTCAGTCACTTTATATAATGCACAGATAATGCTGTCAAGCCTTGGTCAGTATATTGGACAAGACAATATTACTGCCAATTTGCCCACATCAAGGCTATAAATAGTTGTCCATGAAATCATAACAGATCCCATTAATTTTGGGACACAGTAATTGAATTTTCCTCCTTTCTTTGTAAAGTGTCTTCTTAGATTATCATGTCTGTTGTCAGAGTGCTTAAATATAAGACAATATGAGCTGTGTCACGACAAAACCAACGTAATGCGTTTGCGACCAGCATGGATCCAGACAGGCCTGCGCATCTGCTTCGATCAGGATCCATGCTGTTCGCTATCAGTTTCTCTACTTTTAATAGGGTTTGTAAGCGAACAGCATGGATCCTGATCAGATGGTCTGGATCCATGCTGGTCGCAAACGCACTTTGTTGGTTTTGTCGTGACACGGCTCAATTATGTAGTCTCAACAGACATAAGGTTTACTGTTACATTCATTGAGATATGACAGTATTTCATCAAGCTATAAATATGCAGATCTCTTCCATTGTTGGCTCCTTTGCATGATAATACTTGGCGTTATATAAGTTGTAATTCAGTTATTGTAGCTTGTCAGGAGAAGTTAGGGTGTGTGAAACACTTCTAGATGAATATTTCATGACTCTTGTCTGTGTAACAGAGTCAATCTACATAAATAAAACGTGGAGAAAAAAGTGTCATTATCTCAATAATTCAACAGAATTATAAGTGAAGTTTTCCTTGATCTCTTACCAAGTAAATGTTGCTGTAATTATGAAATTATCTCAGTAATTATACCACCTTTTAATGCTGCCTTTAGCTTGTACCAGACTTAATCATTTATATCTCCTATATTATCACAAATGAAAAGGTCAAATTTTAAATCTGCTAATGTTTTGATAATAGTTTGCCCTTATTGTCAAAGAGGCAAAGGCAGACTGGCCCGATTTTATACAATAATACTATAGCAATAGATGTTGTCATGATCTCAGCAAATGTTTCTTCCATGTGATCTTTGGGTACAAAGTTACAGCTTCATCTGGTGCATGACTGTACAACTTAAGATAGGATAGTAGTGGGTACCATTTTCAGTTCAAACTTATACAAAGGTAAAAGTCTCTGGTTACAGTCTGTCCAGAAATGATGTGGTTGTCAACTTTGCTCTGGTGAATCCAAAGTGGCTAACTGCCGTGGTCATGGTGAAAACTATCAATGCCACCACCACCACAACTTGGCCATCCTTTTTAACTACCAATTTATTTACTTAGTTTTATTTATCACAGTAGATTTGGGAGGGGGGGGGGGTGGGGGCTGGGCTCAACATTTGCCAAGTTCAGGAATATGTCTACAAGCATTAACTTTATATCTACTTGCTTTACTTAATGGGAGCTTTTAGTTGAAGAAATATTTAGATCAGAATTTTAATTATTATGCACATCAGTGCTCACTGCACCACATTTTAAAATCGGTGAATGTATTAATTATATTTACAATACGGTCCATTGAATTCTGGTTTGACACCGGAACCATTATGCATTTATTTTATGCAAAGTATATTGAATTAAATACTAACCTGCTTTTAAGTAAAATATATATATAATGTCATATAAAAGAGTACATTTTCTGTTCTTGAATGTTAATTTTTTTTTTCTTTTCACTACATTTTTGGATTTAAATTTAAATTGAACGAGAACAAAAACCTGTATATATGTTTGCAATTGAGAAGAATTTGGACATGACCCAAGTTTGTATTTTATTGAATGTATTTGAATGGTTTAAGTAAAAATACAGTATATATAGAGACTGGTCTATATGCATATGACATTACGAAGCAGTGACATCTTGGGAAATAATGTTAGGTGTTTATGTACAACATGCTATTGGTTCAAGGTAAGGAGTTCTATAAATTTATATTCTGAAAAAAAATGAACTTCAGTCATACTTGTAGATCATTATTATGACATCAGTTTTGAATTCAATGGTGACTTAGTTGGGTCTATTTGATTAACTCTATTTGCCCCTTGCTATTAGTTTATATTAGTCTTTGGTTGAAAATTGACATGGGTTATGGCAATTTTGACATTGACTATGGTGATATTTTAGGAATATTCTAATTAATTGAATGTCTGATGAAGGGAAAAGTGCTCTTCTTGGTTTGTTCTCCAATAATTGGATTTCATCACATGACTGTATGTAGACAGCATAATAATAATAATAATAGTGTTCAAAGGTGTAAGTCTGTTGTTCAAGACATAAAGTGGTGAATTAATTTCGTATTTGCAGACTCTTACATTATGCACAATTTGTCACCTTAGTGCAGTAACATTGGTCAAGTCCTTCTAAATTTAATAATTTAATAAGAGTTTAAACCAGTTATTGCACTAAGGTGACAAATGATATTCAGTGTTATTAATTATATGATACAAAATAACAAACAGGAGTTTACCAGTTATTAAACTAAACCAAGAAGAATTATTATATTCAATGTTAATTAATTATATAATCTAATTGAGCCACGTCATGACAAAACCAACAAAATGCGTTTGCATGCATGCATCTGCGCAGTCTTATCAGGATCCATGCTGTTCGCTTACAAACCCTATTACAAGTAGAGAAACTAATAGCGAACAGCATGGATCCTGATCAGGCTCTTGATAAATTGAGCCTTGTCACGGTCTGGATCCATGCTGGTCGCAAACACACTATGTTGGTTTTGTCGTGATGCGGCTCAATTTATCAAGAGCCTAATGGTTAAGGTATCAGCCTCTCAGTCAAGGTATTGTGGGTTTGAGACCTGCTGGTGTGTGATGACCAATTGTTTCCTTGTATGACACCAGTAGCTGCGGTTTGTCCAGCAAATGTTACTAGTTGGTCAAATATAAGCTCCAAATTTTAATCACTGACATTGATGCAAAAAAAGGCCTTTGCCACCGGTATAGAGTAATATCAGATAGTTTTCTAGGAAAGTAATAAAATGTTGTGGTGGACTTAAAGCATGGGTTTAAATGGATGTTAAAATCAACCCAACAAACAAATCTTAATAGAAAAAAAGATGCAATTTTATAATATTGAGGGAAAATAATATAACCAACGTGTTTTTATCATATTTCTTTTTCAAGAATTTTTTGGTTTTGTTTGCTTCAGATTAACAATGTTTATAAAACTTGCCTTTTCATTGATAAAGAATACATTTATTTTGTATCTGTATTTTGCAGTAATTTCGGTATTATACATCAAAGGATGGTTTGTTTCCACAATGGCCTAACTTTTTCTTTTATTGTCATTTAGTTATAACACTGTTGTACTGAACTCTGCAATCTAATAATTATGTGTTTTCCGCTCTTTATTCCACAAATATAATAAAAGTCTGTATTGAAGTAATGTCATTTTTTCAATTTATAAATGCAAAATTATAGGGGCATAGCCATTACTTTTCCATTTTTTGAGACGGTTAAATGTCTCTTGGAAATCAATTTTAACGATCACTAATATGCGTCAAATCATACAGAATATTTTCTTAAATGTTTCGAATCACGATAGCGATTTTAAAACCATCGGAAGAATAGGAAGGGTCTAATTGTATGTTTTGTAAATGTGTTTAGTTAGGAATGTTTTTATTACGGAGTCTAAGCCGCTGGATGTATACAACCAAATGCGGATAATTTCTATTGAGAATTGGATTTACGTTTCATAGATGGTTGATCATTTTGATATGTTTTCATTTATGTAGTCTTAATTCTACACCTTCGCTTAATGCGTAAAAGAATCTAATACACAAGGTTGCGTTGAAAATCGTAACAGTGCGTGTCCCAAATATTCAAAAGATTGGACTTTTATTTGTTAACCTCTACGAAAGACGGCCACCGATTAGTTTCTTTAATAAGCAGTAAAGATAATAGAGCCAGCGATACGGATTAATAAAAACTCAACAGACAATCGGGAATAAATATTGATCTTGTTTTTATTACGGAAAACCGGAGAACGGGAAATATTACAATATAACGTCTGAAATTGTTACTGAGGGAGTGTATGCTTGGATGTTACACGTCCGTGCTATAGAAATACAAGTTTAGAAAGGGAATTAATAAATATTTACTAAACTAAATGTATATTTAAATAGGAAAAGAGACAAACGGTTTGATACACATGTATGATTATGTTACAGGAAAAGAGTGCGGATCCTGTGTAAGAATCTTAAGTTGAATGTGTCTTGATATAGTGGATGTTGTACACATGTTGTACACATGCAGAGATTAAATTTTATTGTAACAGTAACAATTGTACACTCAGGATCAAAATGGATTTAAAGCAGGTATATTGAATGTCTTGTTGAGAATTTTTTTATACAGATGCATATGTGTTTATATTTACGATTTTTTTTTTTTTTTTTGCCAGAGTTTTATTAATAACAAGTATATCAAAGAGTATCAAAGTTTGATTAGTTATAATGCCATGAATTATAATCGTTAATTACAATGGCTGACTCTTAACCCAGTAACTTTGCATGTCCAAGTTTTTTCTTTCTCATAGGACGTAAGTGTTGGTGAATTATTTTGGTCTCTGAAGTGATGTACAGTGGGAAAAAAAAATATTGAAGCGCTTTTTTTTGAGGGATTAAAATTAAGGTTTATATAATTATTAGTACAATTATTATGTACATGTATATAAAAATGGTGGTCAAAAGTGGATAATGGATATAATTGTGTAAGATATAATACAATAAAGGGAGCATTGATAAAGTGTGACTTTACAAGCTGTAATTCCTACCATTATGCAATATACACACTTTACTGGGAAACTCTAAACTTGAATGGATATTTATGGACATTTGATGTGAAAGGAAATAATTCTCGTTCATTTGTTGTATGTAAATTGTAGATTTTGTCGCTACAGCATTTGCATAAGCTCTTATATTTTTTCATGTGATTAAAACTTACATAAAGTATGTACAAACAATGTTTTACATTCAAAATGGCCTAAAAAACTACATATACAAGTACAAGAATGTATAAACAAATTGTTTTACATCTAAAATGTCAGCACTGTACTAAGGCCCCTGGGCTCTCTTGATGTATACAAATCAAATTAACCTGCATATAATTTATTTTTTAGTGTTAATGTAAAACTGCACCAAAAATATTTGTTTTGAGAAATTTTAGAGGATTAAATGAAGCAAGTTTCTGTTTAGTATGTTTTTTTTTTTCTATGAGTCTTGATGTCCATGTGACAATGTGCAAGAGTGTAAGAGGGAGATTTGGGTATATTGTATATTTTGAGTTAATTTTAAGGGCGTCTAATGATTAAAGATCCTGTAACACAAATTTTTTATGGTTTTATATCATAAATATGATGCTCAAATTAAGATTTATCAATTTTGTAAATTCCAAAAAGCATTATTTATAAAGATAATACTGAATTTAACATTTAATTTTTATGTTAATAAAGGGAGGTAATAAAAAAATTATTTTCTGTAGTAAAGTCTAAGTCAAAATTTTCAATAATAAATGAATGCATATATTTTAATGATTACATATAATATGTACAAATATCTGCAGTACATATTTTACATGTTCTTGGATGTTTGAAAATTGTTTTATAAGCATGTTTTATAAGCATAATTTTACACATGTATATAATTTCACTTAAGTGTGGTATGCAACCTCAATTACAACATACAGGAGCTTTAAGGACATGAATATACCTACCACCGCACTGAGATTTTGCATAATAATGTTGAAAATTATAATTTAACATGTAGGTCCTATTTTTTTAACATATGTTTTCTTTAAGTGAAAATACAAGTAAAACTTTTGACTTTTGACCTACCCCATCCCCGACCTCATTCCCTGCCCCAACCCCCCCCCCCCCCCCTCATCCATTTAGTGTCTTCCTGTTTAATACACCTGCTTAACATGACCTTAAAGAGGTAACCTTTACCTTGATAATTAGATTATTGTAGATAAAATAAATGTACAGTTTTATCTGTTAGAAATTGTTCATCTGTAAAAATCACTTAGACAATAGCAAGACAGTAATTATTTATGACTTTTGCTCCATAAATCAGAGAGAACAATTAACGCAAAACTAACTGTTAAAGTTTTATGTCAAAGGATCGTTCTTTGTGTCATACATGAAATATTATACGAGTTGCCTTTAGGGTGAAAGTAACAAAATTGTTAAAAGAATTTATGTTTCTATAAAGATACAAAATATGAATTAACAGTATGGTGCATATTCATTTGTTATAGATCTGGAATTTGTTTGTGCAGGTTTTTCTTAATTTGATATGATTTATTCAATTTGTTTGTTCTATGTAATAAACTGGAGTATTTGTATGACTCGTTTTATTAGCTCGACTATTCGTAGAATAATCGAGCTAATGCAGTCACCCATTTGTCGGCGTCGGCGTCCCTGTGGTTAAGTTTTTGTATGTAAGCTCAGGTATCTCCATAACTACTAAAGGGAATGGATTGAAACTTCACACACTTGTTCTCTGTGATTATCTAAGATGATTGGCACAAGTCCCATAACTCTGATTTGCTTTTTTACATAATTATGCCCCTTTTTCAACTTAGAAATTTGTGGTTAAGTTTTTGTATGTAAGCTGGTATCTCCATAAATACAGAAGGGAATGGATTGAAACTTAACACACTTGTTCTCTGTGATTATCTTAGATGATTGGCACAAGTCCCATAACTCTGATTTGCTTTTTTACATAATTATGCCCCTTTTTCGACTTAGAAATTCTTGGTTAAGTTTTTGCGTGTAAGCTGGTATCTCCATAACTACTGAAGGGAATGGATTGAAACTTCACACACTTGTTCTCTGCGATTATCTTAGATGATTGGCACAAGTCCCATAATTCTGATTTGCTTTTTTACATAAAAATGCCCCTTTTTCGACTTAGAAATTCTTGGTTAAGTTTTTGTATGTAAGCTGGTATCTCCATAACTACTGAAGGGAATGGATTGAAACTTCACACACTTGTTCTCTGTGATTATCTAAGATGATTGGCACAAGTCCCATAACTCTTATTTGCTTTTTTACATAATTATGCCCCTTGTTCGACTTAGAAATTCTTGGTTAAGTTTTTGCGTGTAAGCTGGTATCTCCATAACTACTGAAGGGAATGGATTGAAACTTCAGACACTTGGTCTCTGTGATTATCTAAGATGATTGGCACAAGTCCCATAACTCTGATTTGCTTTTTTGCATAATTATGCCCCTTTTTTATCTTAAAAATTCTTGGTTAAGTTTTTGCGTGTAAGCTCAGGTATCTCCATAACTACTGAAGGGAATAGATTGAAACTTCACACACTTGGTCTCTGAGATTATTTAAGATGATTGGCACAAGTCCCATAACTCTGATTTACTTTTTCGCATAATTATTCCCCTTTTTCGATTCATAAATTAGTGGTTAAGTTTTTGTGAGTAAGCTGGTATCTCCATAACTACTGAAGAGAATGGATTGAAACTTCACACACTTTTTCTCTGTGATTGTATTGAAACTTGAAGGGTTTGTACCTTTTCGTACAATTTTATGTATTCATATAGGTAAGCATTATTATACTCAATGAAACACCCTTGTGACAAATTTTCGAATAGTCGAGCGTTACTGTCCTCCGACAGTTCTTGTTCTGTTTATATTAACATTTATCAGGAAAAAAAGAATTGTGCTATCTCAAGTTATTAGAATATATAGACATTGGCTGGTACCCACATGTCAGGGGCTCAGGGATCAAAAACCCAACCCTGGATACAAAAAGGGTTCTGCTAATTAAGTAACGCTCTTTCAAGATTGAATTGTTGACAGAATTTAAGCAACGATACCCCACCCACATACATGTACATGAGCATTTAGAACAGTATTGTTTTGTAAGAGTTCAGTCAATTCTTATCAAAATTGAAATAAGAAAATTTATTACTAAATTATTTAGATAATTTAAAGGGGTATCATTTTAAAAGATATTAATTTTAACACCATGATTATGACCTAATGCTGTGTTGGTGTGCCGTAAAAACCAAACAAACTCATGCAGGTTATGACGTCTTGAAAATGATAAACAGTTTTTTCAGGAGCCAAGACCCATCACTGCTATTTTATAAGGTTAGGATTATAACTGGATGCTCACTAGAGCAAGGCAACAATGTGTGCCTCTACTCAATTAAAGAAAAGTACATCAAAACGTATAGATGTATTATTTCTTTTATTTGTATGCTATATAATTCTTTAAACATGTATTAAAATGTACCTGAAATACCATAATTAAAGTTCTATATTTAATTAAAAAATATACTTTCAAATGCTTTATGTAATTATAGCAGTGTGTGCTTATAATGTAAGTTAAAGATATGTTAGATTTATTGATCTAATTACTTATTAAATTTGTTTGCTTTATTTGGATACTGCTGAATGCTGCATGCATTCTTTTATCCAATTTAAACAGAGTAGATTTGTTATTTATTGAATTTGTCTATTATATATTAGTCTATTGTATATGCATGCAGTTCTTTCCTTTATCTGAAGTTTTATTATTTATTGATTTTGTGCACATATTTTGTTTAACTAGGATATATTGGGGTGTATTTCTTCCCTTTTATTAAATTGAAAGAAAGTTGATTTATCTGTTATAAATAATTTGTTCATCTATTTTGGTAAAGTGAAATATACTAGGCTGGTTATCTAATATAAAGACAGAATATGTGCAGTGGGACTTAAATCATAGCTTTACAAAATCTTTAGAAAGAATGCATCAAAGAATTCACAATATGTTATGTTTATTCTATTGGATATTTTTTTTTCTTTCATTTGATTATATTTTTTTTGTGTGGAAATTCCAGTACATATTCATCTGTTAACAGAGAGGTAGTTATTCATTTAAATCTTGCAAATTTTGAAATTTTTATGTACATCTGAATTTCTGACACATGAAGGAATTATACCTACTTGATGACAAATCTGTCTTTGGGATCTGTTTATGTGAAATATATAACTTTGTTTATGCATATATTGGGTAGACTTAGGATAAATTTAGCTATAATAATATATTTGTTGAAATGTAAACATTATAGTTCAAGGATGAAGCTGTAATGCAAGTATAATTTTATCTTTTACTTTGTGACAAGAAAAGATGATCAAGGTAATGCATTATGGGGCATCTGTAACTTTCTCCACCAGTAAAACTGTAAAGTCATCCTTAGACACTGTATGTGTATCAAAAAACAAAATAAAACAAACAAGAAAAAAATGAATTATATATGGGCAATATGTGGAATCTTGGTCAGTATTGACTCCTCCACCAATAAATTGCTTCAAAGTCCATCGTATGACACTCACTGTACAGTGTTGTGGGTATGACTTGAATGCCAACAAAAAAAAACCCCAAAGCAACCCAAAAAGGAAAGATGAATTATAGATAGTCGCCTAAACATTGATGGTGTATCAAAAAATAAAAATTTTAAAAAAAGACGTAACCAGTGAAAAATGCTCATATTTGCCATGTTTTTTGTATATTTCAGAAGATGAATTGATATGGTCAAGATTGATTCAGATATTAGCAACATGAGATTTAATCGTCGTGTCCTCTTCCTGGTCGTCCTGTGTACATGTCTCGTCTGCTTCTCCTTCTGGTCAAGATGTATTCTTACGCCAGAGTCTTCCGACCTTAACAGGTACGGTATTTTGGAACTATTTTTTCTTCATGTCTAATGAATCATAAAGTGTTTTTCTTTCGCCCCTTGGAAGGTATTACTTCACTTTCTAGGTAAATTTCATCAGTTTTCACACTATAATTTTGTCCGATACAAAGAAAACAAGAGATTGGAAGATGACAACAGAGATGTGATTATTAATCAACTGGTGCATATATAATCCCTCTGTCTGTTGAACAAGATATTTGGATAACAGATCTCGCAGAAAGGTTTTATGAATTTTGCCGCACATTTCGTGCTCATCCAGAAAACTGTTTTTAGATTTTATCTCGGAGTTACTGCATTCAACATATCATTCATAAGTGTTATTACTTTTCTGAATGCAATAAAACTGAAGGACACAGAAACAGGAAGATTATTTGGCGTGGGTTTTTTTTGTAATTTTTTTTCCGGCGTATTTTATTCTTATTTTCATTATGCAAGCCTACAGTGCTTTCAATATCTGTTACTCCATCAGTTTATTTCAAAAGTTTTATGTTAAAATGTTTCAAAAATTATTGAATTTATTTGTTTAATTGCCAATTGTAATAATGCTTATAAACTAGCATATATCATTATTAGTCCCCTACCGGTTTACCGGAGGGGACTTTAGGTTTACCCTCCGTCCGTCTGTCCGTCCGTCTGTCCGTCCGTCTGTCTGTCAGTCCGTCAGTCCGTCCGTCTGCAAAACTGGATCCCGCGATAACTTGAAAAGTACTGAAAATATTTTTATGAAACTTGGTATATGGATAGATGGCAGTATGGAGATTATGCACGTCTTTTTCTTTTCTTCCTATGTTGAAAATTCTGGTTGCTATGGCAACAAATAGGCTGAAAATATGGCAAATTTTACACATAAACTGGATCCAGTGATAACGCAAAAAGTACTGGAAATATTTTTATGAAACTTTACATATGGGTAGATGGCAGTCTTGAGATTATGCACATCTTTTTCTTTTCTTCCTATGTTGAAAATTCTGGTTGCTATGGCAACAAATAGGCTGAAAATATGGCAAATTTTACACATAAACTGGATCCAGTGATAACGCAAAAAGTACTGGAAATATTTTTATGAAACTTGACATATGGGTAGATGGCAGTCTTGAAATTATGCACGTTTTTTTCTTTTCTTCCTATGTTGAAAATTCTGGTTGCTATGGCAACACATAGACTGAAAATATGGCAAATTTTACACATAAACGGAATCCAGTGATAACTCAAAAAGTACTGGAAATATTTTTATGAAACTTGTTTTATTATGTTTTGTGGTCGATATTTTCAAATACAGACTTCATCCTCACATTCATTATAAATGGCAATACACAGGAGTGTATGACAATTAAAGAACTTTTTGAGGGACCGGTAGGGGACTACTGTATTGCCCGCAATACTATCAAATGCTTGTTATAACAAAAATACAAGTGAGTGTCAGACATAATTGAAAAGATGGAGTTTTTTTTAAACAAATTAATCATACAACAAGCATAACCTCAAAAATTTTCAGAAAGGAACATTAAGATTTGAAATGCATGTTGGAAGATTCAATGAAATTCGCTTAAAGTGTTTTTACTACAAACTTTAAATGCATTTAATTAAATTGTTTATCCTCTGAAATGATTAGGTGATGCTTTAAACTTCCTTGTGTATTTGTAGTAGTATTCTTGTGAAGTTTTAATATCTTGAAACACAATGTTCCTAATCACTTAAGATCAGTATTCTACCAGAATGTTGAATTCTTTGTGTATCAGCTATCTATGTAGCTTACGGGAAGAAAGCGGTCCTGCCTAAGGGTGCCCACATTTAAAAGTGCTAAGAATTATGTATAAATTTTGTGTAAAAGTGTCATCTTTAATTCCCTTCCACTTATATAGTTTAGCAGTCGCTCATGCACTGGCTATATCACCATTTCTATGTGGACATGACTTTAAAAGGTATTATTATGTCTCCCAAAATCTTTGGTGTACAAAATGGCTACCAGAGCGATAAATAGAAAAATTTTGTCCGACTTTCACAGTTCAAACTGCAGGCCGGATTTCTTTCACAGGTCAAACTGCAGGCTGGATTTCTTTCACAGGTCAAACTGCAGGCTGGCTTTCTTTCACAGGTCAAACTGCAGGCAGGATTTCTTTCACAGGTGTAACTGCAGGCTGGATTTCTTTCACAGGTCAAACTGCAGGCTTGATTTCTTTCAGAGGTCAAACTGCAGGCTGGATTTCTTTCACAGGTCAAACTGCAGGCGGGATTTCTTTCACAGGTCAAACTGCAGGCGGGATTTCTTTCACAGGTCAAACTGCAGGCTGGATTTCTAATAAATTCACGGGAATGAACATTACCATCATTATATTAAAGTTGTGCATATTGCCGGTACTTTCTGCTTTGCTGCATAAAATGCCCGTCAAAACTATAAATAGAAAATCTTGTCAGGCTTTCACAGGTCAAACTGCTGGCAGGATTTCGACAAAACTTCACAGGAGTGATCAGTACCATACACGTTTGGGAGACATAATTATGTTTTTGTGACAAAAAAACCCATTTAGTTCTATTTAGTTTTAGTGTGTTACGCTGTAACAGATTTTATGACAATTTTAATTACAGGAAACAGATTGTGGATATAGGAGCAGAAGATGGATTTGGTGACGTACATTTCGTACAACGAGGTGCCAAGAATTATAACGCGCCCGTCAATGAAATGGAGGTACCATTATCAAACCTGCAGGAGATCGAGTGCGAGATTAATAAAGAGTACTCGGTACAGTGTCGTAAAGACAATAATGAAGTTTATCTACCCTTTAGCTTCATACAGAAGTATTTTGAGGTAATTTAAGTGTATTATTAACATTTATATATATAATTATATATTTCACCAATGGTTAAGGCAGACCTACTATAATGCTTTCCCGCCAAAAAAATTCAAACATTGACCAATATCAATGCAAATCAGTTATTTCAGGAACGTTATTTTTCAAAATCTTAGGTATTAAATTATTGACAATCACTAATCCTTTAAATTATCGCTGTGTACCAAATTCCTGTTATGAATGTTTAAAAATTATTGAACATCGATGATCATAAATAATATCTTGGAAATGACCAAATTATTACGATGTGTGTTGGCCGATGTAAGATCATTTTTGACGGGAAAATATTACAGAAAGACTACCTTAAAGGCAAGGGAGTGTCCATGGCTGAGTAGTTAAGGTGGTTAACATCAAACCACTTGTCTTTCACCACAGTGGGTTTGAATCCTGATAGGGACTTTGAATTCCTTCATGTAAGGGAGCTAACCAGCTATGTAGGTGCCTGAAATAATGCACAGAGGCGCCATGTGTTGGTGCAATGTAAAACCCAACGGAAAAAAAACAAAATTAATATATGAGCTAAATCAAATATACACTAAGATTTGGATGTTTCTTTGAGGTAGACAATGCTTTCTGATATTATAAGCATAGATAAAAGCAATATTTTCATGATTGGCAACAGAAAGTCAAATACCAACTGTCTTATTTAATTTTGGCCTGGATCTTAAATGAGCCACGTCACGACAAAACCAACATAATGGGTTTGCGACCAGCATGGATCCAGACCAGCCTGCGCATCCGCGCAGTCTGATCAGGATCCATGCTGTTCGCTTACCAACCCTATTACAAGTAGAGAAACTGATAGCGAACAGCATGGATCCTGATCAGACTGCGCGGATGCGCAGGCTGGTCTGGATCCATGCTGGTCGCAATTGCACTATGTTGGTTTTGTCGTGACGCGGCTCAAAAGGTCCTATCTTATTTTGAGGATTGTTTAAACAATCAGATATCCACAAAATTTATAGCGTAATAAAAAAAGACAATACAAATTAACTGAGAAACAAGATCAGAAATTGAATGATAAATGGAGACCCCTGAGGCTACAAGCAACATTAATATTCAACAAATGTGTTCATGTTTTATGTATAGTACATTAAACAGTGTGTCTAGCGATTGTGTAATGAAGAATTTTGAATAAAAATTAACATCCCCTCTGCTTTACATTAAATTGTATAATCTTCTTATATTGTAAATTTGACTTTAGAAGAGAAAAAAAATTTAACACATTGTTTAACCGATTTTTCCCCACTGAGTATCTTAAATGCACTTGATCCATCTGTCTTTCTTGACACAATTATACATTATATTCAGTTTACGTAAAAAAATATCAAAGTATAGTATATATAGACTGAATAGGGAACAGTGCAGACCTGGATCAGACAAGATCAGGTCACATGGGTAGATTCTATTCAAAATATATATAAATTACAGAGCATGAAATTTTCTGGTCACTACTCTTTTGTTTAAATACAGCTCTTTAGCTTCTTAAAGTTTCTTTAGTCTCAAAACCTCTCTTTGGCTTAATTCCATAAAAATGATAATTTAAAGTTTTAGTCTCTAACTCAAGAGAGATCAGTTCAATTATTATTCCTTTTCTTTTAAATTCAGCTTCTTAGCTTCTTTATATTTTCTTTTGTCTCAATACCACTCTTTGGCATCAAAAAATGATTCAGTTTCTGTTGTCTTCCAAACACGTGACATACTAGAGAGTTTGCTTGTCCTAATGCATCTGTTGTAATTGTAAAACAGTGTCATACATAGTACTTAATTGTCTTGTATTTTCTCTGTAATTTGACAGTAAGGGAAATGGGGAATCTGTAGAACAGAGTTGAGCTGATACCAAGTGACATTACTAGGCATTTTCCCTTGAATTAACTTCAGTGTTTGACAATCACATGATATGGTTTTTAGAGACTTGAGTTATTTTTGCAATTTATTGCATTCTGTTCCAGTTTTTTAAATTTCTTCATTGACAGTAGAGAAGACGATTGTTTTGCTGTTCAGAATAATCTTATTTCATATAGGTACTGCAGGGGAAATGATAATCACTATTATATTTTTTGTTCCTTTTCATTTCCATACTTTTCATTCTATACTGGTTTTATAACATTGTAGGAATATTTCCATTATGTTACCTGTCTTCATAATAAGTTTTTTCTGAGCAATTAAATGATTTATGATGTAATACTAGTAGAGCATGATGTTTTGCTAAAATTGCTATTGTGTGAGCTGAAAACAAACATGCAGATTCTTTGTAAAACTGGTAAAGCTACAGATTTTAAAATTTTCCCTTAACCCTTTACCACATATATACGCGAAACAACGCATTTTCGACCCCCCCCCCCCTTTTTTTAGGCCTCAAATAGTGAAAAAATGTCCTATTTGGGCCCCAAACACATGTTTTTGTTTGAGAAATGTTGGTCAAAAAATTGAGCACTTTTTCGGCGCCGCCCCCCGTCCAAAAGATACATCCGGGGGTTGTCAGAAGGGGGATGTGCCCCCTTCTGTTAGGGGGGTTTGAAGGGGGGCGGAGTCCCCCTCATCGCCAAGAAAATTTTGGACTTGTGAGAGGCTAAAAATGACCCCAGGTCGATCATAATATAACGTGTAACCAACGCTGAAAAGCCTTTGACTCTATATCAATCCCTTGAGAAGTTGCAGCACTTTGAAATAAATTTTGATGGAAAAAATCGAGGCAAAATAGTGATTTTTGGCAATTTTGAGATGTCCCCTCGTTGCCATGGTAACAGGAAATTTAAGACTGAGCATGTCGTCACAAAGGCAATGGTCCAGTCAACATTTGTGCCAAGTTTGATTAGTATTGAAGCATTTTTCATAGTTTCATAGCAGTTTGAACTTGTAAGAGGAGGCTTTTCAGTAAAAATGGCCATTTTTCACAATATGCTCATGGGGGAAAGGGTTAACTAAAAAAGTTATAAATGTTACAAAACAACAATATTTCACCAAAATTAGGTGAAAGACCACATTTTAACATGGAAAAACTAGTTTTTAGGTGATTCCAAAGTTTTTCATCATTTTTTGTTAACCCTTTACCACATATATACGCGAAACAACGCATTTTCGACCCCCCCCCCCCCCTTTTTTTAGGCCTCAAATAGTGAAAAAAATGTCCTATTTGGGCCCCAAACACATGTTTTTGTTTGAGAAATGTTGGTCAAAAAATTGAGCACTTTTTCGGCGCCGCCCCCCGTCCAAAAGATACATCAGGGGGTTGCCAGAAGGGGGATGTGCCCCCTTCTGTTACGGGGGTTTGAAGGGGGGCGGAGTCCCCCTCATCGCCAAGAAAATTTTGGACTTGTGAGAGGCTAAAAATGACCCCAGGTCGATCATAATATAACGTGTAACCAACGCTGAAAAGCCTTTGACTCTATATCAATCCCTTTTTTGCAGCACTTTGAAATAAATTTTGATGGAAAAAATCGAGGCAAAATAGTGATTTTTGGCAATTTTGAGATGTCCCCTCGTTGCCATGGTAACAGGAAATTTAAGACTGAGCATGTCGTCACAAAGGCAATGGTCCAGTCAACATTTGTGCCAAGTTTGATTAGTATTGAAGCATTTTTCATAGTTTCATAGCAGTTTGAACTTGTAAGAGGAGGCTTTTCAGTAAAAATGGCCATTTTTCACAATATGCTCATGGGGGAAAGGGTTAAATACCCCATTTAACCTGCTAGATGCTAGATTTTAGCACTGGGTGCATCCCTGGGTTAAATCCATCAAGCTAAAATAAAAAAATAGTTGACAGGCATAACTTGAAGCTAGTCATTCTGGAAGAAAATTTTTTCTCTCCAAGAAATGCTTATAAACTTTGGTGTAGTGTAAGACCAGTGTAAGATGGGTTTATCTCATTCTGCATTGTAGTTTTGAGATACAGTCTTTTACCACCAAGTCTTCATTATTGTTGGTAAACACTTCTCTGCTTTCACCATTATTATTGTACCCTGAATAATAAATTGAGAACTTGTGCAAAGAATTAAATCCTGACAAGAAAACAAATTTTTTTTATTGTAACAATGCAAATATTTTTTTGCCCCCATTTTATTATGCAAACTTAATTAGAAAATTTCTCTAACGACGTCCTTTTTTTTGGAAATAAAAAGTGGTTTTATGATCAAGGCTTATAACAATTACAAATTGCAGGGTAACTTTATACCCTACAAGCAGGAAAATATATAATTGAGCCGCATCACGACAAAACAAACATAGTGGGTTTGCGACCACCATGGTCTGTCAGTACAGGTGTCTATACATATTCAAGTTTTCAAAAAAAAATTACCATTTCCTGATAACATGAAAAATTATATGCGAATTTGATAAAAACAATTTATATCAATTTGTCCATGTGATTAGGCTTTGTAAGATGGATATTTAGAGTGGTAATTATACTCTGAAATTTTTTTAAAAAACATTAAACAATTATGTATATAAAACATATGACTATACTTTCAGGTATATGGAGAGTTTGAGAATGTTGACGGACTTGACAAGTTTGAATTCTCTCACAGTTACTCTGAAGTGCATCAGCCGCCGGAGGAAATCAGACCTGACGGGGCATTTATGTCATTCGAGCATTATAATGTAGAAATTAGGAAAAGGGTTAAGTGCATAACTGCTATAGAAGGTAAGTCATATAAACAACTGTTAATTTACCTTCTGAATACAGTTATACCTGTATAAAATGGCCAGTATATTCAAACAGAGATGAGAGAGAGAAAATTGTGATTGTAGATAGATAGGCTAAAAGATTGATCAAATTTGCATTATAAGTCTTCAAAAAATGGAGAGAAATATGATGGCCTGCCTTTTACTGATGGGGCTATAAAATTGGTCAAATGGTCAAATTTTGCATTGAAAGTTCTCAAAAAGAAGAAAAAAATGCTGGGTCATGTTTTACTGATGGTTTTTACTTTAGTACAATGTGGTCCCTAGCTGAAAGTGATAACTTACCAGGTTTTCCTATGAAAGATAGGTATCTCCAACACTTATTTGGATAAATATACATTAAGGATGGTTTGAAGTACACTGTTATACCAAGAATATACTATGCCATTTATATTTGTAGAAAAATTACAATACCGTGATAGTTTCTGTAAATAAATAGACTCCCCCCCCCCCCCCCCCCAAACTCCTGTTTCTGCAATCAGTTATTTGACAATGTAAATTTTAAAAAAGAAATGATGGTGATGGCATAGACATTTAGTACAGATATTGATAACTTTTATATACATTTCATTACTTACCAAATTACTTGACCCTCATAACTGAAGTTTTAAATCCCATCATAAACTTATGATTCTTTTATGAGCTGAAGCTTAGAAATAAGATGTGTTTATTGAGTTGGTTGATGTGCGAGTCTGTGCTTTAAATAAAGAGGCATCTTGAGCAGGGTTTTTTCCTTCTTTGACAGTTAATAGAAAGTTGCCGTATGACATTTTGTGTTTTTGTTATCGACTGATAATTCAATTAGAAATAGTATTCAGGTGATCATTTTCACTGTGGAATATTTAATGTAACTATATATCAAGATTATTATACTGTTGCCTTATTTGAACAGGGGTACCAATATCGACACAATGGGAACCAGCCGGGCATTACTATCCTATACAGATTGCTCAGTTTGCGCTGTCTCACTATAGTAAATATTTGAAGGAAGGGGAACCAGATGTGATCTTGTTGCTGAGCGGTGAAGAGAGAGACATAGAGAAAACATGGCAAAAGGGAGGCAATGTCAATGTTAAAAGTGTGTGGAGTAAAACACGTTCCTCTCAGGTTGTGGAATTCCAGTCGTCAGGTAAGATATATAGGCAAATATTTGACCACATTCTGGGCCTCCATGGCCATTTAATAAAGGTTAATTTCAAGGTAGGGGTTTCATAGAAAGTCTTAAGTCTGAAATTAGTCCTAAAACAAAACTGAGACAAAGAAACTCCTATATTAACTCCTTTAAATTCTATATAGCAGTCCAGATGGTCCAGTCCAGATAGACATTTAGCTCATTGCAGATCAAAGCACTTGCTATTGTATTTCTTCATTTTTCTCAGGTGAAAGTATTAAGCTAAAGTCTTTGACTAAAGATAAACATGTCAATTGAAATGGTTTTATGTCCTAGGAAAAAATTGGTATTTTAAAAGAATAAGTTTTTCCTTTAAGTGATTTTAAATGTTTGGGGTTTTCATTGGGGAAATTTGAGTGAATTAAACTATATTTTAAAAAGTTTGACTTTTTCTAAGGGGTGTTTTGGCCCAAAAATTGAAATTTAAAAAATTTTTTAAGGATAAAATATAAAACGGCTTAAAATATAAAAAGACTGCCCCACGGTTTTTATAAATTAAACGGTACAGGTAATTCGGATAGAAATTTCCTTCTGTCATGTGAGTTATTTTATTGTTTATGTGAAGTAAATCATAAACTTGAAAAGAGTTACAAGAAAATGTAAACTTAATTTGACTTTCACCTGTTCACTCACTATATACCATTTGATTGGCATAATGTCACTTTTACAAAATAAATCACTGCTTTTTTTCAGTAGGGTTTTAAAAATTTTAGCAATAAAATTAATATATAACTTTAAAGGATAAACCTTTCTTGTGATATTAACAAGCTGGTTTGGATGGATCTTATTTGATAGAGAACGTTTTCCACAAAGTAACTTAAAGGATAAACCTTTCTTGTGATATTAACAAGCTGGTATGGACGGATCTTATTTGATAGAAAACGTTGTCTCACTAAGTGTTTATATATTTTTCAGATTCATTATCAAATGTAGGATTTTACACAATGATGAAGGAGTCGTCTAATTATGCTGTGAACTTTGACTTCCGTGTCCTATCAAATGGAAGCATTAGTATAACATTAAAAAATGATGGCACAACATTCCATATACATTATGTGTTCTCAGATACGCTTATTACTTGTGATGGCAAAAACATTTATTATGGACTTGGCGAGAGCCGCCACGGGGATTGGATTCACTTCTCCCGTGATACAGACATGGATCTATTGAAAGGCCTAGCTTTAAAGTGTACGAAACATAGAAAATTAGGTCGAGTGACGTTGCAAGGTATCACGTTTCGAGGTCACGGTTGGGTTGATAATGTAACTGTGTCTTCTGCGACACATATGGACCATTTTTTTAATGCGGCTAACTGGTTTGTATCACATCAGGATCGCCGAGGCGGTTGGCCGATCATGGTTACTCGCAAGCTCATAGCTGGAGTCATGGAACTACAGCCAGGATGGTATTCAGCCATGGCTCAAGGTCATGGTATATCAACTTTAGTGCGTGCATATTTAAAATCTAGAAACTCAATTTATTTAAAAACTGCTATAAATGCAGTAAAGCTATTTGAAATCAGCAGTGCTCAAGGTGGTGTTAAAGCGCGTTTTGCGAACACATATGACTGGTATGAGGAATATCCTACGACACCGAGTAGTTTTGTTTTAAATGGGTTTATTTTCTCATTATTTGGTCTTTATGACCTTAAAGAAATAGCAACTGGAGAACCATTGAAGACAGTAACTCGTTTATACGAAGAGGGGTTAAAATCGTTAAAAGCCATGTTGCTTATGTATGACTCTGGGTTCGGAACATTTTATGATCTCAGACATATTAGTGCGGGTCTTGCACCCAACCGAGCCCGCTGGGATTATCATACAGTCCATATTAGTCAACTTCTCCAGCTATCAAAGATGGAAGACGAACCGTTGTTTGTACGGACAGTGAAACGATGGCAGGATTATATGAAAGGAGTTCGGTCACCTCATAACTGAAATATTCTTACACCAAACATCTGTGTTATTAAATCTGTATCCCTAACAGGATGAAAAAGTAAACCCTGCCTTGTCAGTATATAGAGGGATTTTAAAAAAAAAGACAGCACCCGTCTGGTATGTTTACCTTGACCCCAAGAAAGTTGTCTAATGGTAGAGTTTAAAGTATGGAAGTGTTGACCATGGAAAGTGTTCAATGAAAAATCCAAATGAATGTGTTTAACACAAAGATAATTATGTTGAGATATCTGGACAAAACAAAGCAACACGTTACTTTTAATGTGTTAAAAATCCAATAAAATTATTATATGTCTTAAAACCTTGAAATGGATATTGTTATTAATGTTATGTTTTTTTATTCAGTAGATGTTATTACTGTATCATTATGCCATAGTGACTATGGTTCCTGGCTGGATAAGAAATTATATATATTACATATATATGTGTGCTTTTTTTTTGTCACACACCACCTTGTTGTTCATTAACTGGCTATTCCATTAATTGAGCAATCTTTAAAGGTGTAAAAACAAGAGATGAATACCTTAAGTGTGAGTTTAATAGTGATTACATGTTGATCATTTTTGTTGTGAATTTACAGATTTGGAAAAAAAGAGTTTTTAAAAAATAAACAAATTAATAAAAATACAGTAAAGGTAGCTATTATATCATGACATCGGTGTCTTATTAGTAATGCTTTTTTATGCAAGAAAAACAAGCTATTATGGGGTCAACACAGGTACATATGCTTAAAGATATATACTATGCTCAAATTTGATATTAGAAAATATTGATAATTGCTACACAGTGTTTTTGTTTATATAAAAATAAACATGTTTTGGCTTCAAACAAAGTAGATATGTTCTGTTTTAAATCCTACACAGTACAGGTAGTCACAATATGAATATATAGTGTCATTAAAAAAAACCAGGCAGTTTTGTTTTTTTAAAGAAAGGTCCAACTTTACTTGTCCCGAAATAGGGAACGCAGCTTCCCGTACATAGTTTAATTATTCTTTTATTCAGATTAGACATATTCAGTAAGAATTTCAGATTTCAATAAATGTCTGTGATAAAAATATTTTACTTAAGGATGAGCATAGTATATCTTTAAAATAATGCATGAATGGACAAAGTAATGTTGACAGCATGGGAAGAGATACTCAACAATGCTGCTATCGGTTTCTAAATCTATTTACTAATGATACTACAGTGAGGTTATGCATGGTAAATTTAGGCAGGGCTTATCAGTCAGTGGCTTATACTAGCTGACCAATAGCAAGTCAATATATTACAGGCAATCTAGGTTTTCCAGCAGTAATCAGAGCTTGAATGACACCTTATGTTAACTACAGCCTTACTGAGACTTAAATCCCAAGCAAAAAATTGTTAATTAATTTGAAGATGGTATTAATGTTCTAATACAAAGCCCTCAAAATCCTACGCAGTAAAGTAATTAGTAAGTCTGTTATTTTCAAGCAACTTACTTCATTACAAATATAAGTTTTTATGTAAAAATCATTTTTTTATAAAACACCAAAAGAGAGATTCTTCCCCATTGTTTATTTCCTGATTATGCTGACAATGAATTTTATTGTTATTTTGCACTGGTACACTGTAATTGAAAAGATTAACAACAATCTTTCAGTCCTCTTGTTGTTTGAAATGCCAAATGTCAGAATTAAGTTGTACTAATGTTTAACACCATTGACATTTTAAAATGTATTTTTTGTTGTTGAAAATTTCAACTTTGAAAATGTCAACCAAGCAATTTATTTCCCTTGTAAAGTAGGGAAAATGTATTGTCACGAACGTGCATTTTGATGTATTAGTATTGAAGCATTATCAATTTTTGTGAAATTAAAGGGACTCCACTAAGGTTTTTCTGGTTTGAAGGGACTGAAAATATTTTTTTAAAGATTTTTGTACCAATGGATGTAGGTCTTGGTCAATAACCTGCGTGTTAAATTTCAGATCATTCGCTCAATATGTTTAAAGGAACTTGACTGAGGTCCAAAAACTTAAAACAATAAAGTTTGAAGTTCTCACATTGGTCAGCTGGGGCACTTAAACAGAAAGATATGAAAAAGATAATTAACGAAATTTAGAAATAAACTCAGATAAATTATTCTAAACCCAATGTTAGTACAACGCTTTTCAATTTTGGGTCATTGTTCACGAATAATATAATTGTTCATATATTTGTTCTGAAGAAACAGTGAGCGAGTGATCTGAAATTTTGCTTGCAAGTTATTGGTCTATACCTATATCAAATGGAACATTGATCACAAAAAAACGTATTCCAGTCCCATTGTTTTAAAAGAACTACAGTGGGGTCCCTTTAATGATAAAGTTTAAGTACAGGAAAATTTTGTTTCATTTCATTAAGTTCAAAGTTCTTTTGTTAAATCAAGCATATGCCAGAATTATAACATTTTTATTGTAATTTACCCTAAAACATTGTATTTCAATGTGATATTGTAAAATGTAATTTTAGTGTCATTCAGCCTGAAATATTGTGTTTTAATAATGTTATTTTGCCTTAAATGGATGTAAATTGTTATCTAGCCTGAACTGTGTTATTTTGCCCTGAACTTTGATATTTTAGAGTAGTTTTTGCCTAAAATTTATTGTAAATTGATGTTACATAGTCTGAAATTATCAAATATTATATTTTAGTGGGGATTTTTGTTTTTAACAAAGTATAATGAATTTTAGTGGGTTTCTTAACCTGAAATACTGTGATTTAATATTTGCTTCTTGCCTGAACAGTTCATCTATGATTAAAAGTATAAAACAAAGTCATATAAAGGTAAAGTTCTGTAGACATATATACATACAGAATACATGTAATACATGTTATTATACTATATAGGTATACATTTTAACACATATATCTAGAACTGTCAGAGCACTTGAGAATTAAGCATACAAAATTTGTTTCCCTGTTGAAAATTGGATGGAAATTGCTTGGCAATTGGGGGGGGGGGGGGGGGGGGGGTTAAATTGAATCTGTATTAAATGCAGGTGCTAAAACCTATGTCACAGATTTAAGGAAAAATGGGCCTTAACTGAATGCATCTTCTTAAAAGGCCAGATTCAGACTGATAGCGTTTAACAGTGTTGCTTATTTTTTATTTTGGTCATACATAAATCCTTAGAATAATTTCTTTCTTTGCACACACCAAATGTTTTCTTATACAAAAGATTTTTTTTTTATTCAAAAAATTATTTTCGAGTGAAATTATAAATTAATGATAAAAAGTTAAGGTACATGCCTACCATTTGGATCAATGAATGGCCTGTTGTAACCATGGTAACATATTAGATATAAAGAGTAAGGCTGGGAAAGTTAATAAAATATTTCATCATTTTATGTACAAAAAACATAAAAAAATGTAATGATTTCTTCATATATTTTTTTTTACATTTTTTTATCATAATTTAGTGCCCATAACAAAGAAATGTTCATATTACCATCTTATATTCATAATTGTGTCAGAATGCTTATTTTGGTGATAAAAAAGTATCTTTTTGAATTATACATTCAAATTTCCACTGGCATAATGAATATTTATATGTTTCTCAAACTCTAAATATATGTTTCTTTAACCCTTTCCCCCATGAGCATATTGTGAAAAATGGCCATTTTCACTGAAAAGCCTCCTCTTACAAGTTCAAACTGCTATGAAACTATGAAAAATGCTTCAATACTAATCAAACTTGGCACAAATGTTGAGTGGACCATTGCCTTTGTAACGACATCCTCAGTCTTAAATTTCCTGTTACCATGGCAACGAGGGGACATCTCAAAATTGCCAAAAATCACTATTTTGCCTCAATTTTTTCCATCAAAATTTATTTCAAAGTGCTGCAACTTCTCAATGGATTGAGATAGAGTCAAAGGCTTTTCAGCGTTGGTTTCACGTTACTTTATGATCAACCTGGGGTCATTTTAAGCCTCTCACAAGTCCAAAATTTTCTTGGCGATGAGGGGGACTCCGCCCCCCTTCAAACCCCCCAAACAGAAGGGGGCACATCCCCCTTCTGGCAACCCCCTGATGTATTATTTGGATGGGGGACGGCGCCGAAAAAAAGGTCACTTTTTTTAACAACATTTCTCAAACGAAAAACAGTGTTTGAGATCTAAATAGGACATTTTTTCACTGTTTGAGGCCTCAAACAGGGGGGGGGGGGGCAAAAAGCCGTCGAAACACGCTTATATAAGGGAAAAGGTTAAGTATGAAATATTAATTTTTTTTATTCATATGCGGGCATGCCACTTTAAAATCATAAAATATTCACCCCCCTAAAAGGATTCACAGTAATATGTTATTGTTTTATTTTGTTTAATTTCCTGATGATTCAACATAAAATTTTTCTCCCATTTATTCACAAAGTCCCACACATTCAGCAAAACCATAATAAATATTATACGCAATAAATCTTTTGCCTTTCTAAGAGAAGGTAAAGTGTTGAATTTTTTTTTAAATATGGCCTTGTGAAATGTATGCATTTTTGAATTGCTTTATTTTGTCAACTCAGCATTTTTTATGTCGGCATATGGTTTTATTTTTTGTATGTAAATAAAGAAACTAGGTCAAGTGATAAAAATTATTCAAGGATCAAAAGATGTATGTATATATATGGGTAGATATATAATTCATTTTTGATTGGAAATTTTTTTTATCACTGCAGTCAGCCAAGTTTTGTGATATGTAAATACACGTTTATTTTCTGTCCCCACTTATCAGTAAAACATGTTGATGTAATATATGGAGGGTACTGTTTTACCTAGATAGTAGGCTTTACTTCTAAGTGGGTACTTAAGAAAGTCAACAGCTTTGTTTATAGAAATTTCCATTTTTTTGTTTTTATATTGATATTTATATATGATTTTAGAGTGATTGGAGCTTTTAGGATTTTTTTTTTTGGGGGGGGGGGCAGTGGGTGTATTTCCTTCTTCTCTAGGTTAAAATTTGAATTAATTTTGGTCGACGAGTTTAATTTGAGATGCAAAATAATTAAAATAACAAAACAAAAACAATCATCAAGTATTTATCAAAATATCTTAATAATGCTTTGGCAATGCTTTTCAAGTTTAATTAAAAAAATTATTCTGGAATAACTGAGTGAGCAAATGATCTGAAATTTTCTACACAAGATACTGGTCTAGATCTACATCAAATGAAACATTTATGTCTAAAACTTATTTCCAGTCTTGTCATGTCAAAAAACCTCAATGGAGTCCCTTTAACAGGTTTCCTGTAAGTGCACAAAAATAATGTCTATTTCATTCATGGTATTTTAAATTCTTCAGCCTATTTAGTTCAATGTAAACAGGTTGAAATTAGTTATACATTGTTAAATTGAATTATGTGAGAACAGAAAAGTTTAACCCAGATTTCCCCAGATCTTTGGTTAAGATTCTTCTATGCTGTGTTCTATCCAA